TTATTGAATATGTCAATGCTGTTGTAATGAAATGCCTCTTCTAATTATATGGTTATTAAATAAATAATTTTAAAAAAGAGTATGGGAGAAAACATGTGCCATTTTGATGACCTCCCCATTAAAACAAACAAACAAACAAAAAAAAAAAACAAAAAAACACCATGGTGGAATAAAGTTGACAATCAATAGCTAGATAAATCACACAAACTATACAAATGCATGGAGATTGAAAAGTACACTTTCAAATTCTCATCGATTTGGAGGATTGAAGTAAACAGAGGGATTTTTTTAAAAAAGAATGGTACATGAGAGTATATTCTTCTCGATGCCCTCCTAACCCTAGACCAGAACTAATGCCAAAGTCATCTGGACTCAACCATTGATGGGTTCTTCTCAGGAGCTGTCCTATTGCGCACTTGTGAGTATGTGGATATGAGTGTGTGGGCATGTGTGCCTGTTTCTGTCTTCACCTTAGGTAACACATGCCCTGGGGCTTTGCAGATAACACAGGAATCTATGGTCATATACACATGATTACATACATGTTAGAATATTGTACGGGAAGGAGGCAGGGAGAGTGGGAACACCATGAGAAGAAAATCACTCATGTGTTGGAAACCAGCTCTGCTTCCTCAGAGCTGAGGGACTGCTGAACTCAGGCTGCCCATGTCAGTGTGGGGTCTGTGGTGTCATGGTCATGCTCCTAGAACTGTGCACCTTGTCCAGATGGAGAGGGGGAAGCAGAGCCATCAGCAGCCCAGGCAGCTACAGAGACGATCCTCTGTGAGGAAGAGGCTGAGGTCAGAGAACCCCAGGAAGTCACATGCCCTCTGTGACATCAGTCCAACTCAGAATCCCAATTACCAGGCAACTACAGGCCAGCAGCAGCCTGAACTGCCTCATTTGTCCAGGGAAACTGTACAGAGAAAGATGCTCTCATGCTGTTTCTGTCCTTCTGGAGGCTCAGGCCCCAGAAGAGCCAGGAATAGGTGCCTTGGACACTGTTTTAGATGCTGGGTTCAGCCTATATCCCAGAGCCTCTCATTTTCCCACAGGGAGTCACAGGTAACACTCATCAGCCCATAGCAGAAAATCTTTCTGACATCCCTAGTATACCCCGTCCCTCCCAGTGTGTGTGTGTGAGAGAGAGAGAGAGAGAGAGACAGAGAGAGAGAGAGAGAGAGAGAGAGAGAGAGAGAGAGAGAGAGAGAGAAACTTTGAGGAAATTACCACTTTTCACCTTGGTGTATGTCAGGAAATCATTGAGAATTCTGGTAGAGTTTGAACGTTTGAACCTTCCTTCCTTGGTCCTTCCTCAGGATAAAGAGCGGGCAGCCCATATCCTGTATCATGAGCTCTGCAGCTCAAGGCCCCAGAGTGCAGGCAAAGTGAAAAAGGTGGTGAACTACATGGCAACTGCCATGCTGTTTGATGATCATCAGTTTATCTCTACCTTTCTTATCATGTACTCAAGGCACGCCACCACCTGGCAGGTACTGGAAATGATAATGAAAAGGTGAGTGACCATGTCCAAACTCAGGAGAGCTCAGGCCTCCTGGTTGGGTTGTAGGAGGACACTGCTCTTATCTTACCTGTAAAGAAGGTTTCATACCTCATCTTGGGCACAGGGGATAATTGTAGCGAACCCCAGGGGGTACCAGGGAGTCCGGTACCAATTAAAAAATCTGGGACGGAGCAGTATGCGTTCAGTCATTACATGAAGATCTCTGGGTCATCTGTGACAGCAGGCTCCTTCCCAGTCCCTTGGCTAAGATCTCAGAGAGCAGTGCAGATTAACATTCCCAGCCCAGCCATAGCTTCTATTTCTAACTCAGCCCCTCTAGATCTCCTGAAGACGTAGGAGACATAGGGACTTAAGGGTGACATCCTTCTGCATTGGTACAGGTACAGACGCTTCCGGTTGGACAGGATGCACGACATCATGGAAAAGTAGTGAGTGTGCTTTGGGTGAATAGGGAGATAAGCTCCCATCAGAAAACTGGAGTATTTGGGGGTTCACGTTGGGGGTTAGGCTATTGCCAGGGACCCTTCTATTGGGATTTCCACTAGAGGAACAAAGCCTAGGAACTGACCGAGATGGGGTAAATAACAAAGATCTTGAGTGGCCTCCTGGACTCTGAGGAGTAATGGGGAGGATGGAAGCTAAAAGTCCATCCCTGTGGGAATCCATCCCCACTGCAGCCAAGCTTTTTGCCCAGACTGTCCTCCACTGGACAGGACAGAAAGTGTTAGAACCCCTCTACACATGACTGCAAAATACTTCCCACCGTGCCCAACGGTACACAGACTGAACAGCCTCTGCCTTGTCCACATGGAACCTTTGCAGCACAGGCAAAGACTGGGCAGGCTTCTCACTGTTTTCTTTGTCCACCTGCCTTAGCGCAATAATGCACTTCCTGGCAATGTGGATTGAGAAATATCCAGAGGATTTTTTAAAGAATCTGGACCTGGACAGACTGAAAAAGTTCATGGACTATGTGAATCTCAACATGCCTTTTTCATACCTGGTCATTCGTGTAGAGGACCTCTTGTCAAAAAAGGAGGAGCAGGAGTCCAAGAAGGCAACACCCAAAGATGAGGAGGCCTGTGGTAGGTGTCTGATTAGGTGGGAAGGGAGGGTGTAGTGCCAGGTTACACCATGGAGGGGCCATAAGCTGGCCTTTGGTCTGCAAACAGAAGTGGGATCCAGTCAGATAGGTTGTCCTGTTGTAGGGACAGGGACTGAGAATTCTCTTTCAGGGAGAGGGTTTGCACACATTTTGGAAGTCTCGGGAAAAGACACTCATCTTGGGGAAGCTCATTCCATGCTGAATCTCCCATATGTTCCCTTAAAAGACCCTTCCACTGACTATCCACCTCTTTCTGTCCTTAGATCCGGAGCCCTCCTCCGGGGCAGTAGTCTCGGGGATGCCAGAGACTCTGGGCCCTAGACCAACATCTTCATTGAACCCTCAGGGGGAGCTGGAGCCCCTAGAGGGTGCTGTGGTACCTGAGATCATGGCACACAGTGTGTCTGCAGCCGAGCCTACACATCTCCTGACTGCTGCATTAGAGGAGGATCTGCCCACACCAGCCCATATACAGCCACCTCCAGATGTGGCTGTAGATGCACCAGCTCCTGGACAGGGATTTCTACCTGCTACTGGCAACTTAGAAAGAGCAGACCACGTTTCACCTCTACCTGAGTTTAACTTGTTAAAATTGAGAATGACCTACTATGTAAAAGCCAGCACCACCTGTAGAGCAGAGGTGGATCACCCACCTGTAATCCAGGTTCTCATTTATTGTTACTTATTTTATTATTGTTTTGTTATTTTTAGATTGAATTTTGAATATTAGGATAATAAACGTCATTGCTTTTTCATTTTAAATTGCACTCTTTGGGCATGAAGTCTTTTCTCTATGGAGTGTAACACTAGCAAGTCTTCTGTACACACTGCAGTCCCAAGCCAAGCATTCGATATGTGGAAGGAGGACATCCTGGAAGCAAGGAAAATAATGCTTGCTGGTGTTGCTGGAAATGGGCAACATGCCCAAGCAGCATGGGATGCAGACTACGTCAGTGTGAGGACAGGGCTCTGTGTGCAACAGAGCATCTTAGAATTAGAGACATGGTCTCTGAGGTCAGGATGGCTAAGGATCATGGGCAAAATTTCTTTTCCTTGGACTCTTGGTCTGTTGAACTGAACAGCAGCTCGACTCAGAGTAGGATGACGTCAGCCCAACTGTATCACCTGTCATTCTCACCAACCATGAGCCCCAAGCTGTGCACACACACTGACTACACACCTTGGATCATATGAACAACATAATTTGAAAGGACAAAATACATTCAACAGCACTTTAATCCCCTGAACAGTTTTGAACAGGTGATTTCTATGAAAGATTGCTAGACTTTTCAGAATTGGGGGTGGTCAATAACTGATAAAGCCAAGCCCATGGAAATTTTGCACATTTTTCTGTGCAAATCCCTAACCCTAATTCCCCTGACCCTAACCCAACCCTCATCAAGGGCAGGCAAAAGGGAAACCCAGAATGGTAAAATTACAGGATAGAGGTGTTCTGTTCTTAGGGAGAGATGATTCAGTGGTTAAGAACACTGGATGCTCTTCCAGAGGACCCAGGTTTGACTAATGGTGGCTAACAACCATCTTAACACCAGTTCCAAGGAATCCAACATCCTCTTCTGGCCTCCACGGGCATTGCATGGCACGGGTGCACTTAAACACAAGCAGGCAAAACACTTGTACACATAAAATATAAATAAATAAATAAATAAATAAATACCCTGTTCTTAGTGTCTGACCTGAAGAGAGGGGAAGATGCCTCTTGAGCACAGCACTGTCCTGATGGCATCAGGAAAATGAGGTTTCTTGTGAGTTCAGATCCTAAATTATGTTAATGTCTTGGCTACTGCAGTTTAAAGATATATTTATTTTTATTTTATGCATATGACTGGTTGCTTGCATGTATGTATGTGCATCAAGTGCATACCTAGTGTTGACAGAGGCCAAAAGAGCACATTGGATCCCTAGGAAGTGGAGGTATAAATGGTTGTGAGCTACCATACGGGGTGCCAGGAGCCTAACCTCAGTCCTCTCCAAGTGCTCTTAACTGCTGAACCATCTCTTTAGTCAGGCTACTGCAATTTTATCTCTTATAAGTCTCAGTGTAAGAATCTTAAACAAAATACATGTTGATTGAAGTCAGTATTTTATAAAAAGAATGAAGCATCATAGCCAAGTGATGTGTATTCAAACAACAATTTGAGAATCAAACTACGAATCCAGTATATCAGTAAGATAAAGAAGAAAGAAAACTGATAAAGGAATGATGTTTGTCATCACACAGTCATAATGAAAAGTGTTAACAAATTTAGAATAGAGGAGACCTCCCTTTTTTTGATAAATTGCATCCACAGGAATCTACATCTGACATCATTCTTAAGAGTGAGATACTATTTCCCCATCAATGTTTGAAGAAGGCAGGGATGTGTTTCATCACTCTTAGGCATCCTAGTTTTCTGGATGTTGAATTTAGTACCAGACAGCAAAACAAAGACGTTAATGGAGCAGTGACTTGAAAAGAAGAAATAAAACTGTCACCACTTGAAAATGACATGATAATCTTCTTAGAAACTCTCCTAAATACTACAAAACAACTCCTGGAACTAATAAGTCAGTTCAGCAAAGATCCACATGCAAAAATAAGTCTAAATTGTATATAGCAGTAATAATAATAACAGTAATAAATTTGAAATCAACATTAAAATCACATGACGTTATGATTACCTCCAATAAAATGAGATCATTTGTGTCTTGTGTGGTCATGACTCCATAACTGCAAAGCAAAACCAAGTGATTAATTCCAGCCAATGTCATTTCTAGCTAGGTTATTATTAATTGCCAGTATAGACATACTGTCAATTCCCTTTGTTACCCTCTGTGTCCTGAGAAACTACACACCCCACAATATGCAGCCACCGATGATTTTGTGGGAGAGCTTCACTCCTCTTCACTGAGGTTTGCATTTGGTTTGTTATTGAAATATAACAAAAATTATTTTGACTGCTGTGCTAAACTGTAGTTAATATGACACTTTTTAGTAATTATGAAATCATATTTCTCATACAATTATTTTCCCAAAAGAGAGAAGCATCTTTTATACAAATAAGAAACTTTTCAAATATTGAGACTTAATTGTAGGAGAAAGCAGAAATATACAGTCTCGTCTCTCTTCAGTCTGTAATACAGATATTATCTCCTTTATTTTAACAGATGAGGGAACAAAGGCACAGCGATGTTACCAAATTATCCACAGTTCACATGGATGCAAGAGAGTCAGAATTTAAGTCTCAACTCCATTCATTTTTATATTCCATATAGTTTTATGGGAGTAAAGACTATAGAAAAAATACCCTAGAATTTTTTTTTTCGGTCTTTTTGAGACAGAGTCTTCCTGTAGCCCCAGATGGCCTAGAACTCAATATGTAGACCAGGTTTGCCTTGAACTCACAGAGATCCACCTGCCTCTGCCTCCTGAGTGCTGGAATTAAAAGCATGGGCCACCACACCCAATTTTAGAATGTATGAACTTTAAACACAAAAGAAGCGTATCTTCCAATTTCTTTTTAATTTCATGTATATGAATGTATTGCGTATGTATAAGTGCACTTGTAGTGCAATGCCCACAAAGGAACGCGTTAGATCCACTGGAACTGGAGTTAAGGATGGTTGTTAGTTGCCATGTGGGTGCTAGGAATTGAGCAGTCAGTACTGTCAACCAATGATCCGTCTGTCCAGCCCTATCTCCCTATTTAAAAAAAAAAATATGTAGATAGCGTGGCCTATGCCTTTAATCCCAGAATTCTGGAGGCAGAGGCAGGCATATCTCTGTGAGTTCAAGGCCAACCTGGTCTACAAAGTGAGTTATAGGTGAGCTGGCACTACAGGGAGACCTTGACTTAAGAAAAAAATGTAGATACCTAAATAGCATCAATAGGTTCCCCTCTTGGGCCTATGATGTCCCTAGCCATGGGCTTTGACCATGTTTACAGTGCCAGGCATAAATTCCCTCCTGTAGAACAGGACTCAGATCCATTCTAGACAACAATTTATTACTCCAGGAAACAACTTAGACACTATTGTACCAGTGGATACATCTTGCCTGGTAGGTCTATATTGTAGTATGCAGGCTCCAGTACTGGGTAAGACCATTGGTGTCCCCTCTCCCCTCTCACCAGTAGCATGCATAGCACTTTCTAGCACTGTGAAACTTAATCAGTAAGTACAATAGTTCTTCCTCAGTTCTAGATTGATTTCCTATTTCTTGCAAGCAAACTATGTGACGTGATGCCTTTAACAATAGGGTCTTATCATCTAGTTTTGCTAAATAGTCATGTTGCCAAACTTTCTTCTAAGTATTTATATTTATATGCATTTTCTTTCTGAGTATGGCTTCTTGAAGGCTGCCCACGCCCCAGTGCATGGTTCTATACCCTTGTGCATATAACCAATTCTAATTGTATTCAGTGGGTTATACAAAAAAAAAGAAGGAAAAAGGGAGCATGAAGTGCATTGAGGGGCCCTGGGAGAACTGGAGGGGGAAATAGGAGTGGATATGATCAACAATACCTTGTGTACATTAGGAAATGTTCAAAGAATTTAAAAAATGTAAATATCTTACAATTAGATTTTTTATTTTTATTTTTTAAAACTTATTCATTATTTGTGTGTGCATGTTCAGGAGGTGAGTGTATCATGGCTTATGTGGGAATGCCTGAGAACAACTTTGTGGAATCTTCTCCCTATACAAAGTTTCTGGGAATTGAACTCAGATAATCAAGCTTTCTCAACCAGAGGCTTTACAGGCTGTACCATCTATCTAGACCCTGATTTAAAAGTTTTAAAGTTTTCAGTAAATTCATATATTTATATGTATATATGTGTAGATGCACACATTCATACACATTGCAAATTAAAAATATTGAGATCATATATGAATTTTCTTTGGTTTGCTGCCATTTTCAATGCTTAAGGATGCTAGTATTAAAAAGGCCTTGCATAATCCAGACATCAGACTGACTCATCAGATAACCTGAAAGACAGAGCAGGGTATGGGGTGTGAGAATTCTGAATTCGTATCCTAGCTGGACAGGGTTCCATGGATCTAGACAGTCATGAGACTCTTTGTTGTCTATGTTTCCTGTTCTGTTCAAAAAGTTTGCTGTTTGATCTGAAAATGAAGTTACTTTTACTAAAAGACTACACTGTGTCTGTCTCATACTGTGGTAGGAATCCCTCCAGAACAAAGAGAAAGAATACAGTGTGGTCTGTGCCTGAGTACATATATGGTTCTACCTGTCATGACTTTGTAACATGGGGCACCCAATCAGAATGTGTACTACTGTATATGGGAGACAGAGGAACTGAACTGTAGGTGGGTATAAAAGGCTAAGCTTTCCTCCATCGGGCCCTGCTTTAGAGTAATGTCTCTTAGAGACTGTACTAGAATGTAAACTGCTTCCTTCATAAATCACATTTGGGATCCCCCTTTCTATTCAGAGTGCATACTGTACTACAGAACGTAGAGGTTTATTACTCTGCTTTTCAATTTCAAAATATTTTTTAACTCTGTTATTTGAGACACCCTAAGAACGTTACTTCAAAACCACCATTTTGTGGCAAAAAAACGTCATCTAGCATCTATAACTGGCATTCCCTGGTTTTCATGTTTCTGTCAGAAGTGTTAGCTGTTTTTATGTATAGTAAAAGTGTATATGTGACTTTACTTGACCTCCACATGTTGAGGAAGTTCTTCCCAAGCAATGGGATACTTTCAATA